TTGATTCCACAACAATGTGATGAAAAGTTTACTTACATGTGGACCCAGTAGAGGAATAAATGTGTCACTTTAATCGCATCATGCGGATTTCCTAACATCTTGAGAGTAAAACCGCATGACATTTCTGCAGCATATAGCGTGCCAAGAGCCATCCATGGGAGGTATTCACACTTAAAGGTGGGGTCCTATTTCGGTAAGGCCTATCATTAGATCGTTTGATGGCAATGTTGTCACCATCTTATTGTTGTTTTTGAAGTGGTTTTACCATCTAATCCGAAATAATCCAATAAATTGCCCTGTCTGTATGTGTCACTTTGGTTCTCAGCCAGTTACTTTGTTTAAAGTAATGAACTAGTTTGAAATTGTTTGACATCGGGAGTACATGTGAAGCCAGTGTTCATTGTCTGAATTGGCATTGGAAGATAGGAAATGGATGGCAAAGCAACTCAATAGTCGACCAAACCGTGTCTTTCCGATGTGAAGGGTGCTATACAAGTGTAATTTTTTTTTTTGTCACTAAGGATCACTCGTTTCAAAGACCCCAAACTTTACATGGTCTTTACATTGTGATCATTATCTTAAAAGTTTTAAATTTGTCTGGAATTTTGGAAAATACTTAAATTCATTCTGAATTTGGTTGCTACTTGTCATAGGTCTTAAAAAGATTGTTTGGAAAAAATGTTTCAAAATTAACATCAAATTTTAAGAATTTTCCGCATTCTGCACAATCTTAATGTTTAAGATAATAATAATCCTTGCATTTGATATAGCACCTTATCATGTTGTTGAGACATCTCAAATCGCTTCATAGAATGTACTGTAAAGTGGATTGACTATGTATTTGGTGGTATTGATTTTAAGTTAGGGAAGTTAAAGAGAAATTTTGGACATCTGGTCCGAAATCTGACAATCTAAGCCTGTTGGACCATTTTGTCTCAAATGTTTAAGATTGTGGTCATCAGGTGAGGTATGAAATAGTTTCCCTTCAGACATCCCAGTGCTAGTATCAATCATGTCCAGGTTATTTAGGTGCAGGATGAAATATAGAATATATACAATGCAGAAATCTATACCCACAATTTGCCTAAGCTTTAAACTCTTAAGGTTTAACCGTGGGTGACTCTTAGTGTCAGGACAGTTCTTGAATTAAAAGACTTTAGGGCAGTCTTAGTGGTGTAGTGAATGGAGTTGCAGGTCTCGCTGTTTTGAATCCTGGTTTCAGCTGATTTTATTGGTCTCAGCGTGGGATGTATTGAGGAGGCTAAATTAGCCCCAACCTTTCAAGGATCAGTGAGAGGAAAACCATTGAAGAATTCCACTCATAGTTCCACCACAGGTTGTGCACGAGGTGTAACAGCTGGATGGGGAGAGGTTGGGCTTGGTGTGATACCCTCCACATTCAAGTTGCTTGTCAACACTCACTGCAAGGTTCGCAAATGAACAATAGCCAATTTGAGAAGGGAACAGCTGGGCAATACCCACTTACTTGTACCTCACGGAACATTGGCCTGAGTCATTGCCATCAGTATTAATAATAATAATATAATGGTTTAATAATACAATAATAATCTTTACATTTGCTATAGCGTTTTATCACGTTGTTGAGACGTCTCAAAGGGCTTCACAGAATATACTGTAAAGTGGATTGACTATATTTTGGGGGTGAAACATGGCAGCCAATTGCACACAGCAGTGTCCCACAAACAGTCGTGGAATTTTTTTTGGGGCGAGGAAAAGCGATCCGCCAATCGATTAACAACCTGGTTCCTAATTACTGCTGGGTAAACAGTGTGTGGGCTAAGGGAACTTGTGAGGAGCGTGTGCTAGCCATTATGTTACGGGACTCCACGGTTATTAGTAATATTATTATTACTATTATTAGTTGTAGTAGTATTATCAGAAGTGATTAGTTCTTCCATTGGGGTGTTTGGAGAATCAGAGGATAGGTTATGGAACACTAAAGTTTAGATGTGAGTTAAAAAATGCCATTAATCTGGAGTTGGTTGATGTGTCTGCTTCACAAGGGAATGGACACCGTATAACAACAACAAGGAAGTAACCTGAAAAAATATAGAGTAACTTCCTTCCCCTCCCCTATCAAAACACTCTTATTGCATATTTTTCAGTTAAAGAGGACTATTAGTATTCTTGAGTGCACCATTGACCCCAGCAGAATGACATGCTATGCAATTTTGAACGCTGTCTTCTCTGTAGTCCCTCTTTCTTGACTGATTCCACTTAAAGGCTTCAGTTCTTTTCCAGTAAGTGATATTCTGTTTGTAAGATTTCTTGACTAACTCACCATTATTTTGAAGTTGCACATTGTTGGCTGCTCTGTGTTGTTTGTGGGAAATTCCATAATGAACAGTTATCAAAAAGATCACTGTCGTTGTTTAGATCAGTGCGAAATTAAACCCTCCAAATCTCACTTTTGTAAAATTATCTCAGCTTACTGCCAACTCACAGGGGTTGAAAAAACCTTGTTGAAAAAACAACCAGAGCTAATGACATCTTTACACTGAATAAACTGCCTCAGAATGTAAAGTGTCTCTCCTGTAGGAAACTTCACGTATGTCGTGTTGACCCACAAAAACTCAGTCCTGGTCTGATATTGTCTCCAAGCCGATGCATCACATATTTGCATGATCTAACTAGGGTTCCCTACTAGAGGTACACTTTACATTGTGATGCCATCTGGTTAGCGTTAACACAGTAATTTTCCCAACGAGCATTGTTTCAAAATTCGTGGACTTGTGAAGCCATACAATTGCAGGAAACATTGGTATTTAATGCAGGAAGTTCAATTTTGAATCATTACACATATCTACCAATAGCACCAAAGCCTTCAATGCAAATACTTTTTATTTAATAATGCTTTAACCATCCAATAAATATATGTGCACTGGATTAAAAGATACAATGCCAGTAGTTTGGGATAAGATACCAGATGTGTTGGCAAATAGCTTGCTGTAGGGTGTAGGCCATCAATTTGAGAGAAACAAAACTGTCACAGCTGTTAGTCACAGGTGAAAGCAATTTTTCACATTATATCAAGGATGCAGTGAGATGCAAGTCTGCTTCAGATGGTAGCATTCTAGCCTCTGAGTGAGAAGACCACTTTGAACTCTGTTTTGACTGACGCTCTAATACAGTGCAGGGGGAGTGCTGCATTATTTGAGTTGTCCTTCAGATGAGATGTTCACCCAGGTTCCATCTACCAGTTCAAGTGGGCAATTAAGATCATTTGAAAAGAAAAGAGAGTTTCTCCCAGTGTCTTGTCCAACAATCCTCCAAATAAAATTGGTCATTCACTTCATTGTGGGACATTGCTGTGCACAAATTGACTATCATGTTTGCCTACAAAATACACAGACACTTTACAATAAATCATTTAAGATGTCTTCCTCGCATGCAAGATGCAGTATCAAATGCAGGAATTATTATACATGGTCAGTATCACTACTTCACTGAAAGAAAGAAAAGCAGAGTTCCACTTTGAACCAAGGTTTTGGTGAGATCAGGTTTTGGTCAGATAAGATAGCTTCACAACAGTTTCAAATGAGGAAGATTAAGAGATCTTGGCTCATTTGCATGGGAAGAAAGCCCGCTTCTGTGTGCAAGGGACTCAAACATTTATATGCTGTTTGTTTAAAATGGACAAACTACTCCTTTCAGGCGGTGGGAGATCCATTACATACCTGATAGCAGGTCTGCAACCTATGCCAATGACAAATCTTCCCAACTTAACAGACAAATTAACATCTCCTGTGGCATGGAAAGAGTCAAGGGAGAACTGAGGCAATAGCAACATTATTGTTGTGAAAGTAATGGTATTAATCATAACCTCCATAGGAATTTCCCTTTGGCTTTCATGTGTAATCTAAGTTAATGTAATCCACAAAAGTGTTTCTTTGGAATAATGACTGTGCTGTTCAAGTTCCTCCTCCAACCTTTGTGGGTTAATGGTTTATTTGAGTAGAGCAGGTATTACAATGAAACCTGAGGGAAACTAGATTTATTATAAGAAGGAACTGATCTGGTTCAACTTTGATTCATTTGATGTCCTTGGGCTGTCATCCCGACGTGAAATGCGCTACATAAATACAATTTGTTGTTGTTGTTGTTGTCCCCCCTCACTTTCCGTGTCTCAGGTGACTAATTTGGTGAAGTAACTGATATATGAGCATGATTCTCAGTGCAGCCACAACTATTTATTTTATTCATATTTATTAATATTTGATTAATATTTTACTATATTTTGCCCACAAAATACACAGTCACTTTACTTTACAATATATTCTGTGAAGCGCTTTGAGATGATTCATTCTTCCTATTCAGCTCCAGTTAACCCTGCAAGCCAAAGCCAGAATGATGGGGTGGTCCTAGCTAGGCAAAGCAGAGGGAAACTTAGCAGACAGCGATATTAATAGCAAGCTATGCGGTTTTAGCTGGTTAAACTTCAGCAGTACTCCAATGCACACTCTGAAATCCGCAAGCCTTAGCTCTTTCCAACCTGTGTCGAATATTCTTTAAAATTATGTAAGCAGGATGTGTGTCTCTGGAGAGAGAATGCAAATTCCATTCCAAACATGGAATTTCCATGTGTAGGTGAGATGCATAGAACTGTCAGTTTGGTTTGGATACTCTCAAGCATGGTGATGGGTTTAGCCACGTGTTCAGATACCCAGCAGATCTAAAAAAAATACACTGATGAGAGGGAAACAGTTGACTTAGAAGTGTGACACATGCATTGCGTTATAACAATCTTACCCCAGCCACTGAAATTTTACAAAGAGCGATGGTAAAAGAGAAAGAGAAATTGGATGACTGAAAGAGGCCAGGAACAGCGACTTGAGGAAATTTATTACATTTTCATGGTTTGCCTATAGTATAAAAGCAGCGGTGTGTTACAGTAAGAAAATTCAGATATGTATTACCAATCAAATGAAATGACTGTAAGCTACTTACAGATGTTTAATCACCATTTTTGTACTTTACAGGTGATGCAACAGTGACTATCGCACACAGGTTTACCCCTAAAGAGCAACTTGTTGCTCATACTCGACTAGCAGACATTGTAATAGTTGCTGCAGGTAAGCCCCTCACAATAATTAGTATAGATAAATATATATATAAAATACACACACTCAGTGCTGGTGTATTATGAATTGTTGCTATTTGGCCCAATTCACTAATGCAAAATGCTGCTTGTATGCTTGTTGTTGAGGAAAACTAGATTTATTACAAGAAGGAACTGACCTTGGGTTTCTTCCTTAGTCCCACTTTGATTGATCTGACGTCATTGGGATGTCCTCCCGACGTGAAAGGCGCTTCATTTTGTCTACTCTTTGTCCTTTACAGTTTCATACTTGACCAAATATCAATTGCTTTTGATGTTTAACTATTCACTTTTATGTACAACATATCTGGTCTGCTCAAGTTGCATTTGGATTGAGTTCCTTGCAGTAAGACACTAGTAAGATCCAATGAATTTTAGTTTTTATTGGGAATGAAAAAGCACTCCTCTTGAAATTGGTACTGTTACTGGCATCTGGTCACTGGAAAATATAGCTCATGATGTAAACTATTTCTTCTTCATTTATTTGTGAGTTCTCAGCTCTAAGGTGATCGCTTTGTGGATTTGATATGTCCACACATGAGTCCAGGGCTTCTTCTAGGATGTTCAAAGAGGGTCTTGGAAGGAACATAAGAAGTATTCATACTTGGAAAACCAGGCGCCACTCTCGTCTGTGGATTTTTGTGAAATTGTGTGTTTGTGAAATTATCATTTCAAAGTCAGACAATGCTGGATTAAAATCTGAATTTTAGCTCCTCAGTGCAAAGAGCCTTAGCCACCATTTTCTGAACCATGTTTCTTGGATCACTAATGATTTTTAGGCCAAAGAAAGGTCCTGGGCAACCCCATATTAATAAAAGGGCTCAGAAGTTTAACACCAGAGCACTTCAGTCAATTGCTGTTTTTGAAGCAAAAAACTTTGGAGAACACTTGAGGTCCCTCTAATTAACACATGTACTCATTTCTGGGAATACATTCCAAAAATTGTTGCAACACAAAGCTTGTCCAATTAGCAATAGGGGTAACTCATACTGCTTGAAGCATCAAATCGTCGCCTCCAGCGCTCTTTAAACACACTTGTAGCACGCAAACGATTTAGGAGGAAGTGTGCCGTGTTAGTTTTGTTTGCTGATGCTGCACTCTGATGCCAAAGTCACATTCCAAGGAGTGGAGTCGCTCCTTTTTCTTGTCAGGGCTGGTTTGTGGCAATAATCCGAAACATGGTTTCTCTGCTTTTATCAAATAAAATATTTAAACAACATTGCTCAATCATCCTTTTTATCAGTAACAAAATAATAGTGTTTCTTCCTCATTTACTTCCCAGTGACAATATAAGATTCACGTATATTTTTAAACTGTTGAATATCATGTAACCCATTTGTCTTTTGACCCTCGTCTTAATAATAATTATCCTTGCATTTGATATTTGCGCCTTATCATGCCATTGCGACTCTCAAAGTGCTTCACTAGATATACTGTGATTGACTGTAGATGGGTACAATGAAGGAGCCAGTTGCACACAGCAATGTCCCCCAAAAGTTAAAGATACATTTGCTTACACTTGTTCAGATCTCAGATGAAGGACCAAGAAAGGTAGTGCAACACACTGTCATAATTTAAGAGTAACAGAGAAATAATACAAACCGAGAAGGAGGTTGTTGGATGCCAAGCTTAAACTTTCAAAGATTGTAGGAGGAAGGAAAGACTGAGAGGGGTCAGGAGTTCAAGGCTTGTGTTTCTGGGAAAGAATGAGTTAGAGTAGCAAACCATTGTGATATGTTTGATTTCAACAGAGGGACCCATTCAGTCCTTCCAGCCTGATTTGCAAGTTTATTAGATCATGACAGATCTTTTAATCTTTTTACTTGTAACTTTTAATACACATAGTTTCCAAGTATATATTGATCCTGCTTTTCAAACATTTCAATTGTTTGTTTTACTATTTCCTGGGCTAGTCCATTCCACAATTTCACAACCCTCTTTGCGTAGAAATGCTTTCTGATTTCATTTCTGATGATTCTTATTCTTATCTTAAAATTTTGCTAAAATAATTTTAGAAAGGAATTAGAAACTTGAAAAAGAAGACTATTGGAGGGCATGGCGAGTGAGCAGGAGAATGAAAATTTGCTAGATGAGTCATGAAGACAGAAAAAGGGTGAAGACTTGTACCAAATGGCCTCTTTCTGAGCTGTAACTTTCTATGATTCTACAATCTGCATCTTTGTTTGCGGGACTATCTCTTGATGGCTTACTATGAATAGAGATGTGAGGTTTCTTACCGCTGTATAATGACCTATTCTATGGGATGCTTTTGGTTATTAGGCATCGGCAAATGAAGAATATGTAGCAAATTCTGCTTTATTAACAACAACAAAGTTACATTTGTATAGCATCTTTCACATTGGGGGGAACGTCCCAAGCCACTGGACAGTTAGTGTTTCGGATTCCAGTTTGGGGGTCGGGATCGGGGAGAGTGGAGGGCAGGGGGCAAGGAGGGTGATCAAAGGCACAGTCGAAGAGGAGGTTTTTGAAACAGGCCTTGAAGGAGGCAAGGGAAGGGCAAGGCAGAGAGTCTGCGGGATGGAGTTCCAGAGGGTGGGGGTAGAGTGGCTGAAGGCCCATCCGCCAATGGTGGGGTGGGCGAGGTAGGGGAATGTGAAGCGGGCCGGAACCTGCTGAGCAGATAGAACGGGCAGGTTGGTAAGGGATAGGAGGTCGCAGAGGCAGGGGGGAGCGAGGCCATGGAGGGCTTTGAGGGTAAGGATCAGGATCTGGAACCGTATCCTCTGTGTGATGGGAAGCTAGTGGAGTCGGACGAGGATGGGGGTGATAGGGTCACGGAGCCTGATGCGGGCTAGGTCACGGGGCTACAGAGTTCTGGATTATCTACAGCCTATGGAGGGAGGAGTTGGGGAGGCTGACAAGCAGGGAGTTTGTATAGTCAAGCCTGGATGTTATGAATGTGTGTATGAGGGTTTCGGTGGCCTTTGGTGTGAGACAGATGTGGAGCTGGGTAATATTGCGGATGTGGGGTAGAAAGGATAGTTAAGGGTCAAACAAGACCCCAAGGTTCTGGACTGGCTCAGTGAGGTGGAGTGTGTATCCATGGATGGTGATGCTGTCAGCGCCTGAGGTGTGGAGGTGCTGACGGGAACCAATTAGGAGAGCCTCGGTCTTGTTGACGTTCAACTGTAGAAAGTTAGCTCTCATCCAGGACTTGATGTCTGACAGACATTCTGTCAGGACAGCAGTCGTCCTGGAGTCGAGAGTGGAGGCAGAGAGATAGCGTTGCATTCATTGCATTGCATTCATCATTCTCTTTCGTGGGGGGAGGAGAAAGAGAGAGAAAGTATTTTTTTCTTGTTTATCTTTTCTATATGACGCCATTCAGGTTAAAAAAATATTTCCTTTGGAACGATAACTGATCAGATCAACAGATTCGTTCCTCTTTGGCCCTCAACAAACATAAAACAGCCAATTTAATTCTATTACATGTTCAAATTCCCTAAGTAATGTATTTGTTTTCACAAACATTGACGTATGTTGTGGAAAAACTATCATTGAAGGAAAGTGATTAGTAATTACATTAATATTAGCCGTCTGTTATTCCCCAGAGGGAGAAAGGCAGTGCCTGCCAGTAGCTTTAGGGTTGTTTGCTGTGTGAGGTAGGTTCTTCCTAACAACTGTATCTAACCATGCTTAAAGCAGTAAACTCAAAACATTTGATGCTATCCATGGGCTATTGAAAAGAGAGTACTGCAGCCACAAACCACAGTCACACCACTTTACAGTATCTCTGTAAAATACTCAGATTTATTGACATAATATCTAGCTTATTTGTTCCTTTTTATAATTTCAACAGATTCAACTTAACATATGTTTACTGGGGGTGAAATCATAATAGTCATAAATAGGAGGTTGCAACTAGCAGCTCATGCTTATAAAGATTTATACCATACCAACCTGGAATGTTCATTCGACACCCCCAGAATTGGATTTTGTCTGAGCAGAGCTCTCCCGAGTCTGCGTGATGCACATCTGGTTCCAGTTAAGAGTTTGCCCGGGTGTCTATGGCTGTTTGTTGCTTGGCTCAAATTGCTTCCTGTGTTTGCCCACAAAGTACACAATCACACTACTCTGTGAAGAACTTTGAGACATCTCAAAGCCATAATAACAACAATAACAAAATTACATTTTAGGCACTATATCAAATGTAAGGATTATTATTATGAAGTCAATTTCGCAACAGATCCCAATCTTCTTCCATTACAAAAGGTTGTAGCACATTTATCTGAGCATAACACTTGTACGAGTGAGTTTATCATTCATTTCCACATGTGAAATATCACATGATACTTTAGTGTGAATAATACATCAAATTACTTCCTAATTTGGAAGCTGTTTTTCTACTTTTTTCAGTTTCAGTCAATAACTGCCCAAATTTTCATTTTCTTCCCAAGAATGTAGGTGACTTCTGTTTAGATTCTACATCTAATATCACAGATTAGTTGTGGAGCATGATAAACCACTCCAGAATTATTTAATTGTATGATTTGAGGAAAATACATGCTGGGGTGAATATAAAATTTGAGACGTGGAGTAGGGTTGGCAATTTCTAAAAATATCAAAGTATGAAAAAAGCCATGCACCTTCCCATGGATACGAGTTTTTTTATCTCCCACTTTGACAGCTTTCATCTTAAACTCGCACTACCCCTCATGAAATGTGCTTTATAAATGTAAGTTGCTGTTTTAGAAAACATTGAGGCTCACATTAATGCTATCCATCCCTTTTGCAAATATTGCAAATTCCGTGCAGCTATATTGTTTTGTTTACAGCTAAGTCTTTTTTACATACATCAAAACCTCACCAATCTACATTCTTACAATCATCTTCAACCACTTTTCTCAGAAATACTTCTAGTTCACTTTAGAAACCATTCACAATTCATTGACAACGACAACAACTTGCATTTATGTAGCACCTCTCACACAGGGTAGCGTCCCAGAGAGCTTG